AGTAGCTGGGACTACAGGCACATGCCACTATGCCTAGCACTATGCCACTACAACCTCCTAAGTAGCTGGGACAACAGGCACGTGCCACTGTGTCTGGTTTGTGTGTTTGTATGTTTGTGTGTATACGTGTGTGTGGAGACAGAACCTCACTATATTTTCCAGGCTGGCATCCACTATGTTGCCCAGGCTGTGACCTATCTGCCTTTGTCTCCCAAACTGCTGGAATTACAGACATGAGCCACCATACCCAGCCAATTTTTTCTTCTATGGTTCTAAAAAGTCTTGGCTTAACCCAAGGCCACAAAGATTTACTCCTGTGTATTTTTTAGAAGTTTTACAGTATTAGCCTTTTCATTTAGGACCTTAATGATTTATTTTGAGTTAATTTTTTGTATATAGCATGAAGTCCGTTATTTGCATGTGGATAACCAGATTTGCTAGCACAATTTGTTGAACTTTCTTCATTGAATTTCCTTAGCATCTTTGTTGAAAATCAGTTTACTAGGCTAGGTGTGGTGGCTTACACCTGTAATGCTAGCACTTTGGAAAGCTAAGGTGGGTGGATCACTTGAGGCCAGGAGTTTGAGACCAGCCTGGCCAACGTGGCAAAACTCTGTATATATTAAAAATACAAAGAAATTATCCAGGCGTGGCAGCACATACCTGTAATCCCAGCTACTCGGGAGGCTGAGATGCAAGAATTGCTTGAACCCAGGAGGCAGAGGTTGCAGTGAACCAAGATTGTGCCACTGCACTCCAGCCTGGGCAACAGAGTAAGACTCTGTCTCAAAAAAAAAAAAGGAAAAAATCAGTTTACCATATATAGGTTTATTTCTGGATTACATATTCTGTTCCATTGATCTATACGATTGTTCTTTTGATACTATTACACGATTTTGACTAATAGAGCTTAATAGTAAGTCTTGAAATCAGCCTTATTGCACTGGCTAGGACCTCCACTGATAAGGAATAGGAGTGCTGAGTATGGACATTCTTGCCTTCTTTCCAGTCTTAGGGTGACATCACTCTTTAGCTGTGAGTAATGATGTTACCTGTGGGTTTCTCACAGATGATCTTTGTCAGGCTAAGGACTTCCCATTTTATTATAATTTTCTGAGAGTTTCTATCATAAATGGATTTTTAAAATTTTGTTAACTGTCTTTTCTTCACCTATTGATATAATTATATGGTTTAGTCTCCTTTAGTCTGTTGATGTAGTAAATTACATTGATTGACTTAATGAATATTGAACATACTTGCATTCCTGGAATAAACTTTAACTGATTATTATGTCTTATTTTTTTCACTAATTGTTGGATTTTATTTGCTAATGTTTTGTTAAGAATTTTTGCATTTATGTTCATGAGGGATATGATTTATACTTCATGTAGTGTATTTGTTTAGTTTTGGTGTCAGCATATTGCTTGCCTCATAAAATTAGTTCAGAAATGTTCTCTTCCCTTTATTTTCTGGAAGAGTCTGTAAGAGTAGTATTGATTCTTTCATAAACGTTTGGTAGAATTTGCCAGTAAAGCAATCTGGGCTTCAAGTTTTCTTTGTGTGAAGATTTTAAACTGTAAATTCAATTTCTCTAATAGCAATAGGGATATCTGAGGGTTATTATTTCTTCTTGAGTAAACTTTGACATTTGTGTCTTTCAGTGAATTTATCAATTTCATCTAAGCTACATATTGACATAGAGCTCTTTTATCATACTCTCTTTTTAGTGTCTGTAGGATCTGCATTGATGACCTCTCTTTCAATTACATTATGGTCATTTGCACCTTCTATTTTTTTCTATCTTTCTAGGAGTTTATCAATTTTATTGATGGCTTTAAAGAACTAGTTTTAGTTTCATGATTCTTTTCCCTTTTGTTTTTAAGCTTCATTATTGATCTGTCTCATCATGTCAGAATTGATTTCTGCTCTCATCTTTATCTCCTTTCTTCTGCTTACCTTTGATATAAATTTCTCTCTTTTTGTTCTCAAAGTAGGAGATTAAATCATTGATTTGCTAATTTTATTCTTTCTGGCATAACTGTATCCAGCAAATTTTTACATATTGTGTCTTCATTTATTTAAAAAGATTTTTCTAATTTTGGGGGTAGGCTTTCTCCTTGTCTCTTGATTAGAAGTATGTTGTTAAACTTGCAAATACATGGGGATTGTCCATGTATCTTTCTGTTACTGATACATAATTTAATTCTGTCCACAGAATATACTTTTTATAATATGAGTTATTTAAAGTTGTTTGAATATCACTTTGAGTCCAAGAATATATTTTATTTTGGTGAATGTCTCATGTGCTCTTGAAAAGAATGTATATTCTTCTGTCTTTGGAGTGGAGTGTTCAGTCAATATCATTAGGTCACTTTTGTTGGTAGTGTTTAGCTCTTTTATAGTCGTTTTTTTTTTTTTTTTTTTTTTTTTTTTTTGAGATGAAGTCATTCGGTTGCCCAGGCTGGAGTGCAGTGGCATGATTTCGGCTCACCACAACCTCCGCCTAGGTGTGTCGTAGGCTATACTATCTAGGCTTGCAAGTCCACTTAATAATGTTTGCACAATAACTAAATTACCTAATGATGCATTTCTCAGAATGTATCCTCATTGTTAAGTGACACATGACTATACACACACACACATACACACACACATCTGTGTGTATACCTATCATCTATAAAAAGAATAAGAATACAGACCTAGTATAGGGCTTTTGTAGGTTATAGTATTAATTAAATGTTATTGGTCCTGGCGGTAATAAAGAGTTAATGTTTAGTAATGGAAAGTACATAAGGCACACAGTCATACATTGCCTAATGACAGGGTTATGTTCTGAGAAATGCATTGTTAGGCAATTTTATTGTTGTGCAAACATTATAGAGTGGACTTACAAACCTAGACAGTAGAGCCTCCTAACACACCTGGGCTATATGGTGTAGCCCATTGCTCCTAGGCTATAAACCTGCACCAGTGTTAAAATTGGTATATAAAGCAAAAAATGGCATACCTATATAGGTCACTTACTATGAATGGAGCTTGCAGAACTGGAAGTTGCTCTTGGCAAGTCAGTGAGTGAATGGTGAATGCATGTGAAGGCCTAGTACATTACTGTACACTACTGTAGACTTATAAACACTACACTTAGGCAACACTAAATTTATTAAAAGTGTGCATTTCTTTTACTTATTATTATTATTCTTATTTTGACACAAGTGTCATTCTGTCACCCAGGCTGGAGTGCAGTGGTGTGATCTTGGCTCATTGCATCCTTGACCTCCTGGGCTCAAGTGATTCTCCTACCTCAGCCTCCCGAGTAGCTGGGACTACAGACATACGCTGCCACACCTAGCTAATTTTTGTATTTTTTGTAGAGATAGGGTTTCACTGTGTTGCACAGGCTGGTCTCGAACTTCTGGGCTCAAGGGATGCTGCCCATCTTGGCCTCCCAAAGCATTGAGCCCCACTGCATCTGTCCTCTTTTACTTTTTAAACTTTTAAAATTAAAAACCAAGATAAAATCTCACACATTAGCCTCGCCCTATACAAGGCAAGGATCTTCAAGATATTACTAGGCCACAGGATTTTTTTCATCTGCATTATGATCTTATAGAACCCCTTTTATATATGCAGTCCGTTGTTAACTAAAACACTGTTAAGTGTGCACATGACTATATAGATTTTCATTTGCTATTTAAACCTTGCTGTCACTTGACTATTATATTTATAATTAATAATGGGACAAACAGGGTGATATTTTGTTTTCTTTTTAAGGTAGACAAATGAGGGAATTGATATAATTGTATGTCATTCTTCATTTCTGTTTTCTAAGCTAGAGAAAGAAAATGGCTATTTGTCCAGAATTCTCTGCTGTCCAGTATGGTAGCCAATGGCCACAGTTAATTTAAGGTAAAATTTTAGTTCCTCCGTCATCCTGGTCATATTTTAAGGGCCCAGAGCCATAAGTGGACATTGTGGACATTGCAATAATATAAAACATTTCCATCATCACAGAAAGTTCTATTGAAGGAAAAGTAACAAATTGTTCGTGGTTTGCCTTCCTCTTTCCTTTAATAAAAGGGTAAACCATTTTTTCCAGGCTACTTATTCTCTAAATATATCTCTTAGTATGTATCTGTACAGTCTTTGAATGTATCTCCTGAATTTATCTATATTTTTTCTCTGCAAAACTACAACTAGATGTAATTAGTCTAAAGGAAATGATTCTTCCCTTCTTTTTTTTCATATGGCACTGTGACTGCTTCTTTTTCTTCCATCTCTCTGGCCCCTTTTTCTTAGCCTTTTACAGATTCTTCTTTCTCTCTCCATTTCTTGAATGATAGCCTTTTACAGAGGTCCATCTGTAACCTTGTTTTTTACTCCCTGGATGTCAAATACACTATATAAGTCAAAGACCAACAAATCTATGACCAGCTTAGACTTCTAACCTAATTTCCTAGTGAATATATCAACATGGCTATGGTCTAAGCATTTCAACCTCCCTGTGCCCAAAATGAATCCATCTCTTCCTCTCTTGCAAACCTGCCTTTATTTTACCTCAGTGTGGGTCATTACTCTCTATTATGCTTCTAAGCTAGAAACTTTGGAGCCCTCCTCCTCATCCAAACCGATTAACCAATTCCTGTTGATTCCACATCCTAATTACCTCTCAAATTGATTTTTTTCTTTATTCCTAAGACCCGTTTTTGTGGTCTTCCACATTTCCAGTATTCTGACAACTTGTTAATCTTCCTTCCCATTTACAGTGATCTTTCTAAAATACAGAGCTGATCATTTTGTTTCCCTATTTAAAATCCCTCTAAGGCCCAACATTACTTTTTGCAGAAATGCAAACATTAGCATAATATAGTAGTTTCAGGGTCTGCCCTCCCTGGCCCTCTCAGCCTTCAGCTTGGAGTCTTTGTTCAGTCATGTCCAGCCACCTAACTGCCTGGAATTTTTGGAACACACCATGTGCTTCTCTCACATCTGTGCACTCGTACATCCTGTTCCCTTTCTTGGGCTGATACCTCTCCCAGCCCCACAGCCCACCCTCTTCCTCCTTGTTTGGTGATTCCATGTTGCTCTTCAGGACTCTGTTCAGGCTTCCCCACATCTGGGAACATTCCCCGATATCTCCCCTCCCCAGGCTGGTCTTGTGCCTTTCTGACTTTCCTCTGCATTCTCATAGTATTTCGGCTTTTCTCTTCCATGTCAGTTGTTTCCCTATATTGTAATTGCACAGAAAGTATGCAGTAATAATTTATAAAGTAACAAGTTTCAGCTCTGAAAATCTATTTGAATTCACAGACTAATGAGCTATATTATAGTAACCTTCTACTGTGTTCTTATAGGCAAAGATGCCGGAAGGAGATCTGGTTTCAAAGATGCTGCGAGCTGTTCTGCAGTCTCATAAGAATGGAGTAGCATTACCCCGGCTCCAAGGAGAGTACAGATCCTTGACTGGAGACTGGATCCCCTTCAAACAGCTAGGTTTCCCTACACTAGAAGCCTATCTGAGAAGTGTGCCAGCAGTGGTCAGGATAGAGACTAGTAGATCTGGAGAGGTAAGAATTAAACCAGTTCATAATTGCCTGTCTGGCACTTCCAATCTCCTATCTGTGATAGAAGTCTAAGCAAAAGTACTAGCTTAGTTGTTTGAGATTGGTAGTGACAGAGAAAACAGCATCTAAAGCATGGCCTAGAGTCTTAGGTCTTTTGTTTTATTCCTCAGATTATTTTCATTGTAAAAATAAGATTTCAACCACACAAAATTAAAACTATTTGTTTACCCATTGTCAACATATAAACAAAATAGTTATACTGGAGGCCTTACGTGTGTAAACATCATACCTGCGCCTTACAAACCTGTTAGAAATGTTTTTGCCAGAGTTACTCATGACCTCTTGATCACCAGATCTAACAGGCAGTTTTAAATTCTCATCATGTCAATTCCTGCTATCTAGACCTGGTCAGTCCTGAGCTAATCCTTCATCACCATAACTATCGGGGCCTCCTTGCCATTCTCTCTTCTCTTCTGTTCTTTCCCTCTCCTTCACAGCAGTATGACTATATTATTATATCATTTTAAATCCTTCTGCCTCTCTGGAAGAAAACAGTTTATAGATAGTATGGGGCATTTGGTGGTAGCAGGTTGATCTGTCATTGCTCTTCCACTGTGACCTAGCAGCTTCACTTCTTGGTACCTACCACCGTACAGTATGATAGATATGGACAGACCACCACCCAAAAGAGAAACAAAAACACCCACACCCCCTCATACACTATAGTTTCCTGGGTGTATTTTTACATATGTAAATACGTAGAACAGGTCTGGAATGTTTCTCACCAACATGGTTTCTCTCTGGGTGGCAGGGGGATGAGGAGGCAGTGGTGGAGGAAGACAAGGGAACCAGGAGCAGGAAAGTGGTCAAAGAGGAAATTCACCTTAGGAAAATAATTTTCCTAAGGAAGACATAGACATTAATTAAATGTTATATGAATAATAAAACATGCTTTGGCATCCCTGATCCTTCCAGACGGACTTAAGTCCTCCTTTCTGTCTACTTGCACCTTGTAACACATCCATTATGACACTTGACACAATGTTTTCTGTTTAATTTCTTGCCTCTTTCTTTTTCCTTCATAAGTTCCTTAAGTATGAGGGGCTTAATAAATCTGTGTTGAATGCATGAATGAATGAATAGCTGAATGAATTAATAAATTAATAATGCATCATAGAGTTACTATACTGTAATTTACTCAACTCTTTGTTCCCCTGTTTTGGACATTTTAAATATTTTCAGATTTTAACTATTAAAATACCCCAATTGCACATACTGGGATAGGTAACATTTGTTCTTTTAAATTATACTCTTGTAATATAGTCTCAGAAATAGAAATACTGAGCCAAAGAGTAGGAAAATATTTTAGCTTGTGATATAAAGCCACATTGTTTCCCTGTCCTTCATTTCAAATTAGAGTCAAAGGCTTGAAAACCACACAGGTCTTTAGAGATCATCTTGTCCCAGTAGACTCTATACTTCAGATCTTTTTTCAATATCATATCATACCAGTATTTTTCTTAAAGAAACAGAGCTGAGCTGCAGTGTTTTGAGAGATGTAGAAGCTCCGGAGACCCTGCTTGCCCTGCCTTGCTCTCATGCCCCTACCAGTGGCAGCCCCTTGAGGCTTCTCCATGGAACTCTATGGCTCCCATGAACACAGTTTTGAAAAAACCAGGTCTAAACCACCCCTGTTTTACAGCTGAGAATAATTAGATTTGTTCAGAGTCACCCAGCAGATCCATCGCAGAAGCAAGAGAAGGATTTAGTAAGTCTTGTATTCAGTGTAGTAGTTATGAGTACACACTTGGGACTCAAAGAGACTTGTCACGTTACTTGGAAGGTTGCTTAACTTTCCTGAGCCTCTGCTTTCCCATGTGTAAAGTGTGAATGAAATGTACCTCACAGATTGTATGATATTATATGTCAGATCATAGGTTGCTTTGGTTCATTTGGTAATATCATAGCACCTAATACATTGTAGATGCTTAATACCTATTTAAAAAATAAATGAAATTTTCAGCTTGGGGAAAGATGATCCAGCGTACTAGACTATGCTCGATTCCTCTTGCAGAAAATATAATTTTCTTCTAGCTTTATCAAGGAGTGAGACACATGAATATTTGCATACAGCTTGACTTGGGATGTGTAGGCTCATTAAGATCCACTTTTAAGAATTGGCCTCTAGGCAACATGGAATCTGAGAAATGTTTCTCCTCTCACCCTGCCTTTCATGAATAGATTACCTGCTATGCCGTGGCCTGCACAGAAACTGCAAGAATCGCTCAGCTTGTGGCTCGTCAGAGGAGTTCTAAAAGGAAAACCGGGCGTCAAGTTAATTGTCAGATGAGAGTGAAGAAAACCATGCCATTTTTTCTAGAAGGTAGGAGCTTTTTATATGTTAAAAATTTTAGGCCTGTTTATGAATACATAGTCACAGGGAATTATGGAAATATTGTTTGGATTATGATAAATACTGATATCTGTTAACATTCATATGTCAGGAGAAAAATCCTGAAGCTAGCATTTCCATTTGAAATTCTTAAGTGAATGTGATGCACATGACTTGCTAAGTGAAGTAATTACACATTGGGAGATAGAACAGATTTTAGTTGTGCTTGTTATGGTAATGTGTGGTTTATTTTTTATTTTTTTAGCTTACTTGAAGGAATGCCTTGTCCAGAATGTTGGCTGCACCAAGAACTTATGATTTAATGTCTCATTTGACAAATCATGTCTTTTGGTAGAAAAACTCTAGTTTCAGAAATACATGAATTATGTATTACACAAAAATGTTATAGACAACTCAGAACAGTTTACCAAACACTTATCTCAAGGAGCTTATAATCAGTTCTAAAACTGAATTCCCATGAAATGGTTCAATGATAATACAAAACAGTAGATGACTAAATGCCACAGGGAGCATTTAGGACGAGGGAGCAATAATTTTGAATGAAAATGGCAAAGGGGAGACTTGATCCCAGACCTCAAACAATGGGTAGAATTGGGATTTATGGGGAAGAGATGGGAGGACCAAGATATAGCTGAGTGTGCTATATTTGCAAGATCATGAGGTGGCTGCCACTGAAGGGTTCAGCTGGTGAGTAGCCGGAGTTCCTGGCCAGTCTGATGGATGAAGAGCCTTATCTGCTAAATACTCAACAATCTATTCTTTTCCTATTGACCAGCCCTCCAGTGGCAACCTCCTCGTTTTCTTAGAAACTGTTCTGAGAATAGATACCCACAGAAAACATCTGGTTAGGGGAGTGTCATAATGAAAATGGGGTTTGAAGATGCTAATTGATTTTATTATGTATGCCTAACTTCATAGGAAAACCGAAAGCAACCCTCAGACAACCAGGATTTGCTTCAAATTTTTCTATTGGCAAAAAACCTAATCCACCACTATTAAGAGACAAAGGAAACTCTGCTGGAGTTAAGTCTGATGCTGAAACGTCTCTTTATACATTACAAACAACTCTTGGAAATGAAGCGTTCAAAGACATTCCAATGCAAAGGCATGTGACCATGTCCACCAACAACAGGTATTTGGCTTTTGACTAACACAAAGTTGATGAATTTAGAGTAAAAGAGTGTTAAAAATGTACATTCAGGTTAAGAAAGAAGCACTTTCTATTTTATCTAATATAAGTTCCCATATAGTAGAGACATGCATCATTACCAGTTGAGTTCACTTTTCTTAGCTGCCTGAACATCATTCTCTAAATAAATCTCTAGAATATTTCTCTGCATTAATCTTTCCTTGTAAAGTTCATTTAAAAGCTCTCACAAATTGTTCTGAGATACTATTTCAGTGTAACTTAGAACTTTTTCAGAAAACCTTTTTTTAACAATTAATTTTGTAGGTTTCAGTAAAATCTGATGGAGTTTTACACACTCCACTCTTGCAAGTATCATGCCCATAATTATTTAGTAGCATCAGATATCCATGCATCAGAATACTGGACTCGCAGTAGTAGGACAACCTGTAAGTCTTAGTTTGGGTGCTGCCATTCACTAGTCAGGTAAAATAAATTATTTCACCTTTTGGACTGAAAGATGAAATAACTTATAAGGTGAAATAAGTTATCTTTTGGACCCAAAAGATGAAATAACTTATAAGGTGAAATAACTTACTTTACCTGACTAGTGAATGGCAGTACCCAAATTAAGACTTTTATTTGTCTAAAGAAAATGTTAAACTAGATGATCTCAAAGTTTCTTCCCGGCTCAAAACTATGGTTTTATAAGGTAGCTCAGAGGGCAGCAAACTACAACCCATGGGCCACATCAGGCCCACTGCCTGTTTTGGTAAACTAGGTTTTATTGGAACATGGCCATTTTGCTTTGTTTGTATGCCTCTGGGTGTTTTTGCAAAACAGTGGCAGAAGTGAGTAGTTGTACAGAGACTAGATGGCCTACAAAGCTGAAAATGAACTGATGGACCCTTTACAGAAAAAGGTTGCTGACCCTTGATGTAGATGCATCAAGATCACATTCTTCCATCCTAGTTGTGCCTTTTAAAAACAAATTTTGTTGTATTCTATTCCTTTTAATCAGTG